TTGACACAAGATCTCTCTGTTATCTTAACACATTTCCCCAGGCCTTCTCCACCCAAGCCGCCTGGTACCAGCCCTTTGAATTATGCCTCGAGTGGACATGGGTCTCAAATACCTCCCACTGAGGGATCAACATAGAAAAACCACTTCTCCCTAGGATATGAGCATGGGGCCATTTGAATAGCCTTTGGTCCAAAAAATTCATATTGATTTTGTGACCAATTTTTAAAGTCTAGAAGTATGTCCCTACCCTCCCCACCACAGGTTTTTATTAAACTAGCTGGTTTTTTGTTTGTTTGTTTCTTGTCTTACATAGATACAAGTGACTTCTTAAAAAAAACCAACTAGTTTTATATGCATCCTGCTAAATTTCATTTGGGTTGGTTTTGCCCTTGTGTTTCTATCCATTGAAGTAATTTTGAATTTTTATTTTGTCATGCACCTTATTTTGGGAGGCCATGTCCTGGGTGACTATGTATATTCCCTAAAATTCTTCTGATTATTTTATATACAACTGGTTTTGATACTTCTTCTGAGTTTGAACTGAGATATTCTTTTATATTTTGAACATTTCCATAGAAGTTTTCCAATTAAATGCAAGGGAGCAGAGCTCAGCCTTCTTTTGTTTTTTTTTTGCCATGGGTATAGCACCAGGCCGTGGCATACATCATAGCACACAGCAACCTCAAACGCTGGGATTGAGCAATCCTCTTGCCTCAGCCTCCCAAGTGGCTGGGACTACAGGTGTACACTATAATGTCCAGCTAGTTTTCTGTTTTTAGTAAAGACAGGGTCTCACTCTTGCCCAGGCTGGTCTTGAACTCCTGAGCTCAGTCTATCCACCCACCTCAGCCTCCCAGAGTGCTAGGATTACAGGTGTGAGCCACCATGCCTGGCCATAATCAGCCTTCTTTACTACCTTGAGGACTCTTTACCCCCCGCCCAACCCCATCACATATTTTTTCTCCTTATACACTTGTATTATTCTTGGAAAAATCCTTCCCATATTTTGATTTGTCTGTTTACTCTTTTGAGCCTCTGTGAAACATGTGGGTACTCCAGGCAAGCTAATAATTTAAAAACGCCTTCAAACAATAGTCATTAAATATTTTTCAACCTTTACTTGAGTAGGGGCAGAACATTTAGAAAAGGCCATTAGCCTTTCCCATTTTCTCATAAGACCTTCAGTAGCGTCTTTCAAGGTGTTTCAGCATCTGCTTTTATGTTCTTTGAATGCAGCTCCATCCTGAGAAGGACCTGTGGAATGAGAAGAGGGTGTGTGTGTTTGCACACAGGCACTCGTGTACCTTGGGTAGAAGTAACCATATTTTGATATACTTGCCCATTCACTCACATTAGAAGTCCCCACCTGATATTGTTGGGATTATTGATGAGAGTTGTTTTTTTAAAAGTCAGTTAAAATCAGAAATTCTGTATCTTAAATGATCCAGACACCAACACTTTATTTTTAAATAATGTACATCAATCCACCATTCCTTTATTGTTGAGCTAAGGTCTTTTTAAAAAAATTTATGGGCCCACCGATTGTGATGCCCCACTGATATCCTTGCACAAATCACCTACAATTTCTACTTGCAGTGTTTTCAAGTGAACCAAAAACTTATTTTTAAAAATGAGTGCAGAATTCTTCTAGAATTTCCCCCCACTCTCATAACAATTGCCTGCTTTTATCTAGCTCAGAGGCAATTCATTTTTTAGTGGTTCAGCTTTATCAAGTCTTCCAAAAACATGTGGCATACCTATCACTTTTATTTTGGTACCCATTATTTCACTGTTTTTTGTAATATTAAATTAAATTACAATCACAATAAAGTTAACATAAAAGTCTCAAATAGATTCTGTGACTTTGGTAAATTATTTTCCTTCTGTGTCTCCATGGGTGGAATGAGAGATTAGATAAGGTCAGTGACTCTTCAAGCTTTTGAGATGATGATTACCTTTGAGAATCAAATATTAAATCTTGCGTGCAATTTCTGAGAGTCCTCAGACACTTAGACCAAGTGGTCTCTAAGATTCTACCCAGCTTAGAATCCACCCTAGGTAGCAGGGTGGATCCTAACATTGCCAATGGTTAAGTGACAGAATAAACCAGTGAGAGAGCCTTGATTACTTGAATCAACAAATTGGGTTTTGAGTAGCTGGCTACCTTGTCTATGGTCCACCCAAACTCCCCTGCCTAGCCACCTCCCACAGGCTGAGGTGTAGGGTGCCTGGCCTAACCCCAGACTGTGACTTGGCAAAGTGTCTGAAGTGTGCACCCTGCTGGTGACTGTCCATCTTTACCAGGGATGGTGGCACATTCTCAACTCTTCCCATGGTTGGAACAATTGCTGAGATAGTGTTGCTATGGTGATCTGACTTTATAGTTAGGATAAGGTCCTTTCCTTTAGTCAAAAAGATAAAGCTATTGTTGAGGAAGATTTCAGACAATACTTTTGCCTGGTTGGCTCTCTCTCACCCTCACCTTTGCACTTTTGTATCTTAAGAAATTCTGAAAACATTCAAATGGAAAACCTATAGCAAAATCAGTGGCAAAATGTTAAAGGTTTTGAACTGGTATTCAATCTCCATGAGCTTCCCTCTCCCACTCTACATAATGATATTAAATGTTAATGATTTCAATCTTTTATTCATTGAAAATAGAGTTTTCTTTCCTGCATTAAAAGGAAAATCATCTTTTTGTTTTGCTGTAATTTTTTACATGAAGATTGTTGCAAATATTTTCAGGTAGCCCTCGGTAAATAACAGCATATTCTGAGAACAGATATGAGTTATTTCCTCTATAAATACCACCAGGGAAGCTTAGGGAAGGATAACAGGAGAGTTTTATCTAATTTCACATCTTTTCTAACTTTACTTTTAGGTATCCCCTGGGGCTTTCCTCTGTGAAGTGATTTTGTTCTAATTTGAGTTTGTAAATGTGTTTCCTGCCACTCACTGTGGTTTTCTCTTTGATGATGAAGTCAGTTTACACGAGAAGCACATCTTTAGCAAAAGAACATCAGGAGGGAGAAGCCGGCCCTCCTATCTCCATGGGCATACCCTGTGAACACTGATTTTCCAAACACACAAACTACTCCTTGGCAAGCCTAAGGAAGCAACCAGGCACTGGGTTTAAGGAACTCCATTCAGCTTTCCTGCTAATGGAAGGAAAGCCCATGTTAAAGAATTCTGTGGTTCATCCAGGCATCTCTTTTTGGCCAAATGAATATTTCTTTGCCTTGTAGGTTGTTCATCATGGACAAACATCAAACTTTTTTGCTCCCTGCCTTCCTCTAAATCTCTGTAAACAGAAGCATTTAGCAACAGAACAACTGGTAGCCAGGGAGCAAGCTGAAGCATGGAGAATAGCCCCCCAGCCCATCACCCCAGTTCTTCATCCAATATTAAGGATCTTCTTAATCTAATCCTATCCCATCGAACTAAGTTGGACTCACCGTTTATCAGCTGTGTGACTGGCAACTTGTGTGCCTATTCAGTGCCTTAGTTTCCTCCTCTGTAAAAAAAACAAAAAAAATGATGTTTCTAATGTATGTATTTAATATTAGTATCTCTGTCTAGAGTAGTTAGGAGAAATAAATGATTTAAGGTATTAGAATAATGTTTGGTACTTTGAAAGCACTTGATATTATTAGCTATTAACACAGAGCCTTCACTCTGCTTAGGCCATTTTCATTGTTCCATTTTCACTGCACAATCCTTTCCAACTGTGATCGTGGAGCTCTTGTTATCTGGAATGTTCCTCTTCACTCCAGTTAGGATGTCTACAGACAGCAGCGCTAACCAATAGAATTACAATGCAAGCCCCTATGAAAGTTCCCATTTCCTGAGAGTGGCACTGCAACAGTAATAAGAAACATGCAGAATTAATTGTAATGATCTATTTCAACACTCTGTACGCAAAGTATTTTTATTTCAGCATGAAACCAATATAAAAATTATTGACGTATTTTACAGTCCTTTTATTTTCTGTAAAATCCAGTGTACATTTTACACTTTCAGCACATCTTCATTCAGACCAGCCACATGGGCCAGTGGTACCACACCGGAACCTGCAGGAATAGAATGAGCAGGGGGCCATGGGTTATGAGCTCTGGGAGTCACTGAGTCTTTACATAATGACTAGCCCCTGCTGAGGGTTTATCGTTTATCAGCTGTCAGGTACTATGCCAGGTACTATGCTGAGGAATATGTATCTCATTTAACCTTAGGACAGCCCTCCTAGGGAGGTGCTTTTATTATTCCTGTTTTACGGATGGGAAAAAAAATCTTAAAGAAGTAGCAGCTGATAAGTATTAAAGGCAGGATTTGAACTCAGCTCACTCTCACTCCAGAACTTATCCTCTTACCTTCTGTACACTGCCTCTCAGATGAGAGCTCTAAGCAAGAGTGTGCCTTCTCCATAGGGCCTTAGGGAAAATACGTGAAAACTCAGCAGGTAGGCACAGTTGTATAGTTTGCTAAGAGTAAGAATATCCATCTACAGAGCCTTCATGGGTTTTCCCATGGCGATTCATGCCATTAGTCACCCTATAAAACTTATATTTGTTTATTTTGTGAACAGATTGTGCATAGATAGAATCTGTGCTCCTCTGACCTCTGGGGATGGGGACTGCCAAAGGCAGCCTTGTTTACGAAACATCTGGAAGGCAGAGTCCTTGAAAATGAATTCCTGTGTGAGGTCCTTGTCATTGTAGTCAAGGCTGTACAAGGAAAAGCGGATGGTCTTAAAATAGTGTTTAAAACTGGCCCTAAAAATGATCTACTTGCTTTTATTGGCAGGGACTTACAAATGATGACCTATGATTTAAAATCAGGATCATTTTCAGATAGGAAATGTTAACTCATTTTTATGAGTATTCCTTCCAGAATTTAAGTAGTTTAAATGCTGTTGGTTTACACAGCCAGCAGCTGCCCTTCCCTCAGGTATTTCTGAACCACTGCCTCTTCCTTCTTCTTCTTTTTTATTTTAATCAATAAAGGCCAGATTTCGACCAGAGTTGGACCTTAATCCAAGAGCAAATCCAGATGGACTCCATGGTTATCAAGGGCCTCCATCCAGATACCAACTATCAGTTTGCCGTGAGGGCAATGAATTCCCATGGCCCCAGCCCCCTCAGCCGGCCCAGCGACACTGTCCGCACCCTCCGTGAGTACCGTGGCCCTTTCTAGGACCGTGTGGCTACATTGCTGGGGTTGCCTCCGAGGCCTCGCTTGACTGGGCTTTCTGGGAGCCCTGCAGAAGGACAGCTGGGGAAGGGCTAACAGGCTTTCCTTCTGTGGTTTTCCCAGCCCTTTGGGAGTCAGAGGCTCTCAACCGGGACACGGACTATTTCTAGGTCCAGCAGAAGATTTATTTTTGCATCATCCTTGGGGAGATTGAGTTCAGTTTTCTTTCACAATCACAGAACAGATCACATACCAAAATGACATGCAGCCTTCTCTGTCCCTACTCATCTTTTGAGAAAATGAGTTCATCTTAAAACAGAGGAGAAAAGACAGGTTCAGTGTTCACCTGCAAATCAAGGGTATTCCAGCAACATGCAGTCCCCAGCCAGGAAGTATGGAAGATTGTGGAGTGCTGACACGTAGCTGGGGTTCACCAATGGCCATGATTTTCACAGTGCCCCTCTGGGGGACTAGGGACAGCTCAGGCCACTGTGTATCAAATCACTGGGGAATTTTGTTCAAAGGCAGATTCTGTGTCTTTTCTGGGGTTTAACAAGCTCCCATGTGACATCACAGCCTCAACTTGGATTAGCAGGGATTTGGACCGCCTTGCCAAGCCCAGCCCAGGTTAGAAATTTTTTGTATTTTGGAAGGGACGGGGGGCACATTTACATAAATCTAGAACCCTGTGTAGTGGGAAGAGCTCAGAATGGAAATGTTTATACTTTTTTTGTTTGAAGACTAATCTTTTCAGTTTTGCCTGTGAAATTCTGCAGGAGAGCTCTGCTGTTTCTCTGGGTCCTTTGTTCCCTAGAGCAGCTCTCAGAAGGGAGCCTGCCAGTCAAAGCGGGCTTTCCACTGACCAGCGCAAAATCCCATTTTTATTGGTTTGTGGATCTGAATAAACTTTTCCCCTCTCTTCATGAAACCCCCCCAAAGCTGACTTCCAAGGCCTCTGCTGTTACCAGGAGCAGAGATTCACCAGGTTGCCCAAGGCCTAGAAATTTTGGCTCTTCTGAAAATACCCTTTATCCTAGCTTTGAATGTGAGGTCTTTTTCCTTCAAATTAAATTGCCAGGGTATATAGTGAGGGCACAACTCCAAAATACACACACATTCACCTATGAGTATGATCACCCAGCAATTGTTGTGTCTTGTTCTTTAGAATTTAGAAGCTAAAATTCCCCAGGCTCACGCCAAGGGTTGAAGCTCCTTCTGTCTAGAAGTATTTACAATTCTATTTGAAAGGCAGGCCTGGTTCAATTCTTGCTGGATGAGCTCTAGCCTATAATCTTTGATTGAACTTTGTGATATATATTGGTTAAAAATTGGGGCAGACAGGTGCCAGGGGCTGACTGCACTTTGAAGCAGTTTGTCTTTTCATATTGCCAACTGAGCAGGCGCTCCGAGTGCCCACCACCTCCCCGACACCAACCTCCCCTGGCCCATTTTGTGAGGGGCTCTGTGTTTACTTCTTTCCATCCACCCTTTAGTATCCTCTGCTCCATGGGGTCAGGGAAGTGCGAGAAAGAGGAGATTTAACAACACTTGCTGACCTTGGCCAATGGGTTGGAGACTAGAGTTGGGGAGGGACCCGTGGGTTGGGATGTCTCTCACCCACTTTGCCTTTTTTTAACTGAAACACTGGTCTGGTCCTGAGGTTTCTGGTTATCTTTTCCCTATTGCTGGATCACAGTTTTCTGGATTAAGTAGGATAAGGTATGTGAAAGTGCTTTACAGATATGTAACATTTTATTATAATTGGTCTCTTATGGGAAGAAAAATTTTATAATTCCAAAGTAATTGCATGCAGGGGGAGTAGACAAAGCCATACTAATTCAGTGAAAATTCTCAGAGTAGGAAATATTTTTAAATCAATATAATTTTACTTCATATATATTTATATGGTTATTCAAATCAGAATAACAGGAATAGAATTAGTGCGATAGCTGTTTCATGAACATGTAAGAATGCCCTATAATTAGTATTCATTTGTGGTTTTTCTCTTGATCATTTCTAATGTTTTAGAAAACCCCTTTATTCTGGCACACATTCATATTTCTCTCTTTGGCATTTGTTTGGACTATTATTTTGCTTCCAAAAAACACTTTTTTTTACTGTACACTAAATTACCCATTTACCATAGAGCACTATCTAAATTCTAATAAGTTCTAAGTATCAGAGCTACCACTGGGAAAGCCGGGCATTGTGCCCAAGCACTTTACCTATGAAATCCACTTAATCCTCAAAAACCCCTATAGTGGAGGAAAAGTCAAGTCTTTGAAAGGTAATGTATCTTGCCAGGACTGATCACTGCAAAGACAAGACTTGAACTTGGATTTGGCTGACTGCAAAGCTACTTCCCTGAGTGAAATGCATATTAAGAAGACTACTATTGTCCTAACTCAAAGTTCCATGAGAATGGTTAAGGTCAATAATGAAATAAGGGACCGGGGGCAGTCCATGTGGAATCTATGGATTAAGGAAGCCCAGCACAGAATAAAACTTCTGTGAGTTGTTCTGGGTTTTTGGTTTTAAAACTTGTGAAGTATGTGACACATATAGAGATAGTAATAAAATGTATATGAGGGCTGGCAGTCACCTATGCATTGGTATAGCCCTGGTAGTTTTTAGCCAGCAATCTTTTTGATGGTTGGACCCAAACCAAGCAATTAAATATTTTGAACACTACCCTGAATGAATTCTTGAAACCATTCTCCTTCCTCCCACTCTCCCTCATCTTCATGGATGTTTGCTCAACTCGATGCTCAAGACCTTGAAGGGTTTTGTTCCCTGAGCAGTCAACTTCAGAACACAATGTTTAAGTGCCCAGTGGGAACTGGTGAGTCCCACCTAGACACTTGCACTTGAGGGGGCTCCTCTGTAGCCTGTTTATCTGAGATCTAAACCTATACTGTTTTGTAGGGAAAGTTAATACTCCAGCCCTCTACTGACCAGGGAAGCATTTATTGCCCACTGGGCCTATCACTGCCAGATCCTATTAGTAACTTAATTGCTTAACAAGGCAATTGGAAGTGCCCAAAGTTAATGAAAGCCAGGGCCCATGGCTTAGCACCTGTAGCTCAAGTGACTATGAAGCTAGCCACATACAACAGAACTGGCAGTTTGAATCCAGCCTGGGCCCCCAAACAACAATGACAATTACAACCAAAAAATAGCCAGGCGTTGTGGCAGGCGCCTGTAGTCCCAGCTACTTGGGAGGCTGAGGCAAGAGAATCGCTTAAGCACAAGAGCTGGAGGTTGCTGTGAGCTGTGATGTCACGGCACTCTACCCAGGGCAATAGCTTGAGACTGTCTCAAAAAAAAAAAAAAAAGCCGGCTAAAGTGAGGAAGAGGACGGTTTGGGAAGTTTCACTGAAGTGTTGAGAAGTGTGTGCAATATCCACATCTTAGCTCCACAAAATTACAAGTAGAACAGGAAGGAAAAATCAAGGCTTTAGGGTCCAGGTCCTTTAATAGCCTTTGTTGACCTTGAACAATACTGATGCTACCCTGTATCTACATGTACATCCATCCTCTCCCGGGATGTCTTCCATGCAAATCAGCGACTGTTTGTCTTTATGCAGAAATACAGAGAAAACCCAAGTCACAATCTCTCACTCTTTACTTCCATTCTGCAGTACTTTTTTCCTCTGGAAGAAAGAAACACTAGCATATAATTTACCTTTGGTCTTGTAAATGAGGCAGCTGGTGTGCAGAAATGGGGTTATGCAGGATGTGTCTTAACCTCATCTGTTGGGCACAAACTCACTGGGATTGAAGTTTAACCGAACAGGATGAAAACAAGCAATTAAATGACATGAACGGTAAACAATAGAAATGGCAGACAGTAAAAAGATTGCATATCCTTTTTTCAAAGAAAAAAATTAAAAATAACTTACATGGGAAATGAACTCTAGGATCATTTAACCTCCCTTGAGAATGGAACTTTGTCCATCCCAAACCATTTAATTTCTTTTATATATATAAATAATATATATATATATATTTCTTATAGCATAACTGTGTACATTAATGCAATCATGGGGTACAGTGTGCTGTTTTCATATACATTTTAAAATACTCTCATCGAACTGGTTAACGTAACCTTCGTGTCATTTTCTTAGTTATTGAGTTAAAACGTTCATACTCTGCTTTTAGAAAGATTCACTTGTACCCTTGTAAGATAAACCATAGAGGTGACCCCACCGATCACCCTCCCCCCCATCCACCCCCTTACCTCCCCCTCCCACCCCCCAGCCATTTAATTTCTAAGGCCCTATATATCTTCATGATATAGGGAGAGACAGAAACAATAAATTCTTCACTGAAGCCCAGGTGTATCTTCAGGGGCTATTGCTAGTACTTGTTCCTTCTGTTCTAGCAAAAGGCATTTTGCTCTTTTCTGCCTTAGGGCTTTGGTACCTACGATGCCCTCTGCCTGGAACTTCCTTTCCTGACATTTTTCCCTTCCTTCCTTCCACCCTTGACCAAATATCACTCTCTCAGACAGGATTCTGTTATCTTAACCTGATTATCCTGCCTTATTTTGCCAAAAGCACTTAAGTGCCATAGCACTTCCACTGCTTGAAAGTATTTCATATGTTTTATTTTGTGTGTGTGTGTGTGTGTGTGTGTGTGTCTCCTTTGGGTTAAACTCCATTTTGGAACTGGAATGGCTTGTTCAGTGTTGTGTTCCCAGCACCATATGCAAACTTAGTACTCAATAAATATTTGTTGAGTACATGAATAGGTGATTATCGCTTAACAAGCCAAGAGCCTGTGACTATTTTGGAAGTTGGATAACTCTCTCCTGTGACTGTCTGGGAAATTCGAAGGCAAGTGAATTTCCTATTGGCAAGGTCTGTAGGCAAAGGTGAACTCCCAGAATTGCAATGTGGCATAAATAAGGAAAAGGTAAATAAATAGAGTAAAAGATGAAGGGAGGACAATGAAGGGGAAATGCAAATGCAGTGAATT